CACCAGCTCTTGCATTCTGGTTCTTGTCACCTGCTGCCACCTGGAGACAAGCCCAAGCAATGTCATTCAGCTTGACAAAGACAGCTAAACCAGTTATCAAAATGGTTGCTAAGAAGTTAATTATGTGAATACATCACAAAATATAACTTCTCTTAATGTCGAGTGAATTAATTCCCATAATTAAAGTGTAAAATAAATATTTAGCAGTTTAAAGAAAACATGACATTATTACAGGTTGATGGGAAATATAATCCAAAGATCGAGAGCATCTACTTTGAAAAGTTCCCAATACACACAGCTCACTTTAGCAGAAATGGAGAAGAGATAATCGTGAGCTCCAAATTTGGCCATTTCTACTATTATAATATGATTGCTGGAAAAATCATCAAAGTTCCATGGAACAAAGGTACACTAGTTCAATATTGTGGTCTAGTAGGTGTACTACTTTACACAGAAACCATGTTACAGATGTAATTAAAAAAATCGGTTCTTACATGCCCGTAACGCCTGGCGTAGTTAAGGTTACAATCTAAAATCATTCTAGGAGATTAGCTCTTGATGTAATGTATTCTATGTAGTATCAAGTATCATATAGTCGGTAGTACACAAATGAGAGACCTCTCATTCCTGTACTGGTAATATAATCATACAGTCAAGTATTCACCAGTTTTTACTTAGGTCAACTTTATTTCCATGCTTGTTTCAGCCACAGAGCAAGCCGAGTTAAAAAGATTTGAATTGTCACCAGATGGCAGTACAATTGTTTTCTATGGAAACTATGGTAGAATGCACATTCTCAGTGCAAAGGTGTGTTTAATAATTGTCTCTTGATTGTTGACAAAATTTTTGTTAGTTAGTTATTAGTAATTGGTAATTGGTGCAGAAAGCTACGAATCATTTATTGAGACAGTACAACATTGTAACATTTGCAACTATAATACTCAGAGAATTTCAGAACATTGTACTAGTTTTTCTGTGGTGTAGTCGAATTTATGTTACTAGTCGTTGTCTTTGTGGCAGCCGGTGGGTTAGTGACATTTATGCCACATTGTCATACCTGGGACCAGGTCTCGGCTATGTATGTAATGATCATTCTCTGTTTGTAGACAAAAGAGTTGATATCCACACTAAAAATGAATGGCAGCGTAGATGCTATCTCATTCAGTAGTGATGGAAGGCAGATGTTCTCTCACGGAGGTAAACATGCAATGTTGTGTGTGCGTGCGTGTGTGTGCATGGTCTGCTGTAAACGATTATGTGGTTGCTATGACACTTTCTTGCCAAAATGATGATGCCTGCAAAAAGTTATCTTTGATGTTCTTTATGCCAAAAACGATTTTCTACTTGTGTCTACGTTTGGGTAACCTCTTACCAATAGTTTAAATGACAGCAGGTGCTGATAGCAGTATGAAGAAATCCGTGATTATTTCCTATACTTTTAAGAAATGATTACATTTTTAGGTCTTATTGGTTAAAGCTTTTGTGCAGAAGATTATCTCGCTGGTGAAATCATGCCCATTTCTCGCATTAGCCTTGAGAATGCAATGGTGTTATAAAAAATAGTAGTAGTGTAAAAAAAAAAAATGTTGAATTAAAACAATTTGTGCTTGTTATTATACAGATGATGGTCAGGTTTACATGTGGGACATGGGTTCACGGTCTTGCACTCACAAATTCTATGATGAAGGCTGTATTAAAGGCACGTCTGTGGCGTGTTCTCCTAACGGCCAGTACATTGCGTGTGGGTGAGCATGATTATGCTGTTTCATATTGTTTAAAAAAAAGTCCTGTTCAACTCTCAGGCAACTACAATTTTTTTTCTATTTTTCACATATTATTTCTTTATGATACATTCTATCGTAATTAATGGTGGCAAATTGAGCAAAAGTCTAAAAGATTCATAGGTGGTTGAATCAAGTATTCATGCATTGAGTCCTTCTGCAAGTTATTGTTGATATTGATTGATTTCTGACATGTCCAGGTCTAGCAGTGGAGTGGTAAATGTGTACGATGCTGTGACCTGTGTGACCTCTCACTCCCCGGCACCTCTCAAGGTCGTTCTCAACATGACCACGCCTGTCACCGACCTACGCTTCAACTGCACCTCTGAGATACTGGCCATGCTGTCACGAGAAAAGGAGCAGGCAGTTAAATTGGTGAGTCTTGAATCTCTGAAGCTGAATGCAGTAAAGTAGAGCACTGACGGTTTGACCTGCTCATAGTATTGGTTACATTTACACTACATTTTCTTTGTTAAAATGGAATCTAATTTGGTTTTGGGTCTATTGAAGCCAGCTTTTGCTGATGAGCAACCAGAAAACTCATCTAATATCAGATAGTGCGCTTTGAGTGGCGCCACCGTCGTTGTAATCAAACTGTAGTCGTTAGTTTTAAAACATTAAAAAAAAAAATTCTAATGTTGATTGAATCATGAAATTTTTAATGTAATGTAATTTTAACCCAAATCAACTGAAAATAATCCTAGAACCTAGAGTCAAGTATTCCTTTAATAACATTTACACTGAGATCATAATCTATTTTTGCTTAGGTGCATTTTCCATCGATGTCAGTGTTCTCTAACTTTCCGGGCGTACGAGAAAAGGATATGAGGATACCACTGTGCCAAGACTTTTCCCTGAACAGTGGCTACTACACCATAGGAGATCACAAGGGCCACGCATTTCTCTACAGGTTAGTTGAACTGTGGAAACCAGGATGACCCAGTAGTTAGTCAATGATCACATTAAAAGGTTTCGCACAAGTGTATTATGAGGAATGAATAAAAACAAATTATGTGCTTTTATTCAGTCCTGATATTAGTTCACAATATAGTGGTAAGAATACAAAGCCATCAGTTACATATTGATATTATGAGAGCTTGCCAGTTAAATTTGCATTAAACTCGTGTTACAACGTTATTTCTTATGATGACGAATACACACTGATAATTGTTTTTGTTCTTTTTTCAGACTGAAGCACTACAGTAATTACTGATGTGACAAATAAGTGTTAGTACTCCGGTATTGACAACATTGAGACACAAAAGTTTATTAATTAAGTGTACAGTGACAGAGTTTGATGGATATATCAAATTATGACAAAGTTTGTAATTGTCCCAAAGGGGAATCACATGTGTTTTAAAATAAAAATGTTTTACATGTTAAATGTGTATTACATATAATATATGTAGATATAGTAATTCAATTTTGTTTTTAGATTGAACACACTGTCGGATTTCACATAATGATTATACTTGAATACACAATAATATCCCTCATAATGTGTTCTAAAGATCTTGCTTCAATAACTAAAGATCTTGCTGGTAGAATCGACTCTTTCCAACGCCGCCTTCTAAGGAGGGCCATAAATATCAGATACCCTCAGAAAATTGGTTCCGTCGCCCTGAAAGAACTCAAATTTGCAGAATGGAGCGAAGTCGTCAAAACACGCAGAATAAGACTTTTTGGACACATCATGAGACTCCACAAACACTCCTGTCATGTTAGCACTCCGTGAAGCAGATAGGAAAGTAGATCAGCCAGTCGGTCGACCAAGTGGCTGAGATTGATGAAGCAGCAGCTGGCAGACATAAACATCAACTGGGAGACCGCTGCTGAAAAAGCGAGTGATAAAGATCACTGGCGAAAACAGTGTAGAGGGCAATAACACAAGGGGGAGAGAGATCAGTATGTGCGTAGCACAGCTGCCAGTCAGCACCTGAAATGAATGAATGAATAATGTGTTCTAGAAAAAATAGCGTGTATAACATCAAAATCCATAACGTTATTCAAATTTTCTCATTGACTTCTATTATATAATTAGATGCATTTCTTCAAAAATTAATCAAGCTAAAAGCTGTACTATAGAAGAGTAATTATGTATGCAAGTAAACATTCTTAAACACATTGATTATTTATTAATGCAACATCAGAATACTGGAAGGGAAAGGGAATAGATAATTACAATCACTGGGAGAGGGAGGGAGGGAGGGAGGGGAACTATTATTATCTAGCTCGCTTTCTTATTCGCTAAAACTCTTATCCTGTGACTTGGAGCCCAAAATTTATTTGGGGTTGGTTGCTGTTTAGGGTGGATCTTCCCTTTTACAGCACACTGTAGCAGCTGTCGTTGAGAACGACTATTGAAATATACTCGCCAAACGATGCTTGTAGCAGCGGCTTGTAGCTTGTGATCGTTGTAGTATGTGCAAGTGCATTGTTCATCAAAAAATCCCATCTAAAAAGTTAATTCTGCTCGCAATATCTCGCCACAATTCTCCACCAATGCTAATGTACATAGGAATGGTGCTCGCGTTGCTGGCCGCCGTTGACAGCCAAGATCATTTTCTTCGACCGATCTTATGCACTCAAAATGGACAGGGGTGGACCCACGACAGATGTGCATCGTAAAATCCGATCTAAAAAGTTCACTTTGCCCGCAGCATCCCGCCACAATTATCCACCTATATGGTAATGTGCGGAGGAATGGCGCTCGCGTCGCTGGCCCCGTTGACAGCCAAGATAATTTTCTTCGCTTGTATTACAAGCTTGTAGCAGTGGAGCAAGCCACTTTTTGTGTAAAACCCGCTCAATCTTTTAGAAAATTTCGCAAGAGCGATTTCACGTTTTGCATCCCGAGTTTAGTAGTTATAAATTACAAATTACCAGTGGATTAGTTGACATTTTTGACGTATTTGTGGCCATAATTTACAAATTACGTTTGGATGAACTTACGTAACCTGAGTAATTGTCGTAACACTAGGCATAATCTTGCCTTGTAGCGAATATATTACATCAACTTGAAAATTACTGTTATCTTACTGTAATTGGCGATAAAAGAGCAAGGGATGAAAGCAAACAGGAAACTTGCAACAGCATCACTACAACACCGAGACTGTGCCTTTTCAGTTTGCCTCCCTCCCCCGTACACGCACACAGCTTTTCTGAAATGTTCCGCGATCCCTACCTGACATACCGCTTGAAAATGGTTCCCGACAGAGCATTTGTTTGCTTTTCTACGCTATATTGGCTTTTATATCCGTACGCCAAACATTAGGCCGTGGCTCGGATAATTTCCCACAGTGTTTACAGTATTTATTTAGCCTGGATGGCTGGCGCCTTTTTTTCAGTATGTCTGTCATCGTTTGCGCTTCTACGCGCATCGATCTTGATGACATTTATGGTTTGTTGTGTGCTATTCATAGCCTAAATCCACCGTCCACACATTACAAAGGCTTTGCGAATTTCCAGGGCCTTCTCTAACGACAAATCTGAATTTCTCGATCAGCAGCCTTGGATAGGCATTCCTTAGAAAAACGCGTATATTTAATAGTTATATACCCCCCGCATTCCAATATTCGAGATGATTGCGATTCTGGACAAAAGTTAAAAATATGTGCATTTTTTAGTTACCACTTAAAAATAGGGAAGCCTTAATTGCAGATGACTCCCCGTTTCGCCGAGGGGTGCCCCACATCAGGGCTTACTAGCTAGATGCTAGTTAATTCTGCCAGTATGTACTTATTCCCAATGTTCCGCACCTCTTCGTACATAAAAAATTACAATAAAGCCGGTGATATAACCGGTAGATAGCGTAGTAATTCAGCTTATGAATCGCGAGTACCAACCACTGATCTCTATTTACTAATATCATTATATTATAGTTATGTCAGCTAGTATATAGCGATCGGTAGTGTCAACGGGGGCAACCTATTGTTCTATTAAATATAGGTACAGTATAAAGTTATGTATAACTCGCTATATATATAGATTATGTAAACGCAAAAAATTTCACTGACTAAATTCACTAAATTGCCTACATTCACTAAATTGCCTACATTTCACTATCTAAATTTGACTGCACAAAATTTCACAGCCTAGAAACTCGGTCGCATCAGTGTAATATAAGACATCCATCGCTTTGCCTTTACAAATAACTAATATACCTATAGTGAAAAAAAGTTCACCGAATTTCGAAACCGAAAAGCATTAAACAAAAAACAACGAAGAATGTGCTTGTGTCCGACCATGTGTGTGTGTGGTGTGTGTGTGTGCCGTGTGTGTCGTGCTGTGTGTGGTGTGTGGGTGTGTGGTGTGGTGTGTTGTGTGTAGTGTGTGGCAGGCCCATTTGTGCGCGGCGCCGTGTCGCGTGCGTGCCGTTGCGCCTGCAGTGACGTGTGTGTGTGTGTGACGGGCTGTCTTAATATAGCTCCTTGTGTGTACGAGAGTGTCTCCACCGCTGAACACACGTATACGTGCGCGCGTCTGCCCTCTATATCTCTCTCTCTTCTCTTCCTCTGCTCTCTCTCTCCTCTTCTCTCTCTCTTCTCTGCTCTCTCCTCGTCTCTCTCGCTTTCTCCTCTCTCTCTCTTTCTCTTCTCTCTCTCTCTCCTCTCTCTCTCTCATCTCTCGTCATTCTCTTCTCTCTCTCTCTCTCTCTCTCTTCTTCTCTCTCTCTCATCATCATCGCGTCTTGCATCCTCCTTCTCTCTCTCTCGTCGTCACATCTTGTGTGTTGAGCCAGACGTGTTGTGCTGTGTGCTGTTCGTGTGTCGATGTAGTGCGTGTATGTACCGTGCGTGCAGTGCGATGCGTGCCGTGCGTGCGGTTGTATTGTGCTGTGTGTGTGGTCGCTGGCAGAGACTCAATGTGTGGTGTCGTGTGTGATGTGTGTGTGTGATGAACCCGCAACAATGTCGTGTGTGTGTGACATGTGCTGTCGTGAGTTCGTGCTGTGCCCTTGTGTGATGTGTGTGTGTGTGCTCGTGTCATGTGTAGTACGCTGTACTGTCAGTGCAGCGCACGCGCGATCCCGCGCAGCAAGTGAGAGTGAAGTAATCGCTGTCGTGTAGTGTGTGAGTACATGTGTGTGTGCTAATAACTGTGTGTTAATGTGCTGCGGTCTTGTGTGCTGGTGTGTGTGTGTGGGTTTGTGTTGATGTGGCGTCAGTGTTGTGTGTGTGTGTGTAGATGTGTGTGTGTGTGTGTAAGTGGTGTGTGTGTAGTGCGTTGTGGCGTGCGTGATGACGTGTGTCAGTAGCCGTGCGTGCGGTACGCGCTGCGCGCGAGTGGTGTTTCAGCGTATATGCGTGCATGTATGGCCGCGCGGTTGTGTGTGCAGAGCGCGATCCGCGCGACGTGTTCACAATACGAACTTACCCCACTATGTCGGCAAGGATGTATAATTAAACAGCAAGTATAAACCACTGATCGTCTATATAAATAACTCGATATAACTACATCTCTATATAAAACTGAATTATTATTTATAGCAGCTCAGATCGATATAAACATCGGAGAAGTTAGATAACTAGGGACAACTTACTTACTGTCTAGATAAACATGTATGGATTTATCCTCTATAGACATTTGCATCTGGCGTATATGGTCGCTATTAAAGATAGAAACAGCCAACCGAGCAGACATAGATTCGATTATCGAATATGACTCCTAGGCACTTAGGAGTATGACTAACTAGAAGACACTTAAAAAAAACAATAAAACCCTAACTCCTACCCTAAAAAAAAAAAAAATTTTAATTTAAAGTGCCTGTAGTCATTATCAATATCCGCCTGCTTCTTGCAACACCGATAAAACATAGGATAAAAATGAAATTACTGCGCTTGGAGTGCCGCGGCAAGATCGCAACGCGCACCTACTTATTCTATCGAAATAATTTTGCTTCCCGTTCGTTCAGTCTCAGTGTCATGTGTGTTCTAGTAGAATCTCAAATTTTGAAGCAAGCCGGAAGGCCTGGAATTCTAAACTTCTTCACATACGAGGAATTTTTGACTGAACTAAGTAACACAACTAGGTAACACAAGTTTATAAATCTATTACTAGTACGTGATTTGGAAAAAAACAAATGCCAGCAGCTGCGCTGGACTCAGTAATGATATAGACTATTTTGAGATTAATGACCGAGTATGACAGAACTAAAAACACGGCCCAAGGATAGAGACATGAGCTCCCATAACCAATGTGCCTTAAACCATAACCCATAACCCATAACCTAATCCTAACCCTAACATAACCTCAAAACCTCATTATATTGATGTAATCTTACATTGGTTTTATTGGGACCCATGCTTCTCTATCCTTGAACCAAAAACACAGCGCACTTGTTAGGCACTGGCATCCACGGCACAGGCACTTGAAGCGTTTCAATAAAATATTAATGCTAACTAAATACGAATCATAAGTTACTACCACAATTCTTAATGTTTCAGTATATGCCTGATTTCTTCGTTTCACCGTTTTTCGCGCCGAAAGACAATGCGCCCGGCAGCGATGATCATTGGTTGGACCGTTTAGCGATTTGGATGCGAATTTTACAGGAAACTGTCAACAATAATACGCTGTGAAGAGACAAGATATAGAAACATTAAGATTTGGTGAGTAAAATAGATTTGTATTTTAGTTAGCATCTATTTTTTATGAAACGCTTCAAGCTGCTTGTGCTTGGCATTCAGGCTGCAGCTTTAAGATACAGAAAATAATGTTAAAACCAACAGAATTGGTTGGAAATAAAATTGAGCAGTATCTACATCCTGAGGTTGGCGCGCAGGGCCAGCGTTTGCAAGACTAACGTTACTCGTTAGTACTATAATTATAATGTATGGCCATTTCTTTGAGGTAGTACTATAGTATACTACTAGTGTGTAAATTAATCTGTGTAAAATTATTACTGACTGAGTACTGTCAGTTTAAGCAGGGATTTCTCACGTTTTTCTAACCGTTCTCATTCGTTCTGTTACACACCAGTACTCCCTGCATAACACCAAGCGTATATAGTACTGTACGACTGTTGGCTATAGACCGACCATATATAATTTATATATAACTATGACTATAATAAACTATATTCGAGGTCTAAATGACCGGCACAGTTCACTACCCTACACACCTAACCCATCTGGTCTACTTGAGATACCGCTTGAAAATTCAAACAACTGACCGGGCATTTTAGAAAAAATCGAAAGACTGCCCGAGCAGCCTGTCAGAATATATGCCGGCTGCCGGCCAGATATTAGCACTGCGTATAGTGTAGTGAAGGTTAAGGTGGCACACGGGAGCGAGTTTTTATCGCCCGATCGCCCACTCGCGCACGCGAATTCTTTAACACATCGCTCAGAGAAATTTTGCCCGTTATGTGCCCGTTCACGTCAGACGCCGATTTTAATGCGCACCGCACGATCGCCTGTATCCAAAATGTTAGATTTTTCGAGGCGATTATTACGCCGCCGCGATGTATCTTACTGTCTGGCCACACATTCGCATCGTGTGCCCGATGTCCGGCGAATATTTTCGCTCGCTCCGATCCGATATTTTCTAAACCAACTCCTGGGACGTGGTGTTGATATCACAGCTTTGATGTTAAAATCGGCGCGATTAAATTTCGCTACGATGTGCTCCCTTAGGTCGACACTCGGGCGATTAACAATATACAACTGAGACGATTTTTAATCGCACGCGAACCATCTGAGGCGATTTAAAATACGCTCGTGTGCCCCTAGCATAAGGCTAACACGTCATAAAACACTCGCACATCATTCTTATCACTAATATGTGCACCAGTCTGTATTTAAAATTACATGTGTTTACAAATTTCATTACAATCGGTTGGAGATTTTTGCTCTCACGAGATGCCATTGACCTGTATCTTGTTTCTACAATATGTTACATTTGTCTGCATTTCGAGATAGGTATAGCAGTCTATAAAAATTTGCATCATGTAAATACGTGCAATTTTTTTATGGGTCTGTTTGAAAATTCCATTCTTGCAAATCTCAAGATAGCAGGGGCACGTTTGCTGTTCATTTACTGTTTTATAGGTTATAAATAGTACAAACTAAAAATAATGTTTATACTGAAGTAATCAGTAATGTGTATGCTATAGGTGAGACTAAATTTATTTACATTTATTAGTTTCTCGATCTATTTGTAAAATTATCGTTTTAAGTACCAAGCAATGAAGCATGCTAGTAGATACTTGTTGTGGGAAATTGCCTAGCTGCAGGAAACAGTCACACATCAAAAGATCGAACAAAGAAAGTTAGTCTCTCCAATTATTCCTGCTAGGTCTATGGATAAGGTATCTATTATTGGTGCATATAATGTGGGTTTGCAGTGGTGTGTACAGGGGGGGGGGGGGTCCAGGGGGTCCGGACCCCCCTGCTCGCGCAGAAAACGCATCTGAGGGGGTCTAATTTCAAAATTTAGACCCCCAGACCCCCCCTTCGCGTGCTCGCAAGTTTGGGTTACGGTTAGACCCCCTCCCCCTGGTCCAAATCCTGTACACGCCCCTGGTATGAGGTTGATAGTATCATTAAGATTGATATGTCAAGTCTATAAATTTTTCTGTTTCACGACTTGGCCAACACTGCTCTGATGAATAATTAGGCAGCATTATGACGCATACACAATTTATTATTACTATATATGTCTATTTGCTAATTACTGTAACAAAACCATCTCATCTTGCATTAGTGATCAATTCGTGTGTGATTTTGAATGGGTGGGTTGGTTTGTTGCCTAATACTAATAGGACTTAACTTGTTCACTTTGAATTTGCAATTTTTCATACATATTTTCTTATTGCTGTGTATGATAAAATTGAAATTGAGCTTGTTTTGTCAGTTTATTGCTATTACTTTAACATTGCCGAGAATCCACTCAAGATCTCTGAGGTCTCATTGAGTCTGTATGATCAGTTCGTGATAACCATATTCTCAAAACATGAGAGTTTTACTATAGACAGCCCAAAATAGCATGATAATCTAACTCTGCAACCTTATTTGCAGGGGTTTACGTTTATTCGTTTATCGAAAATAATAGATGTGCACAGGATGCACAACAAAGAGTGTACCCACTTATTTAGTGTGGTTATTTAAAACTAGCTATTACCCGTCCTCCAGACGGGTTTGAGTGGGGTCTGATTTGAGGATGGCGGTTTAACCATTTATCTCTCACTTTTAGTTGAGGATGTATTTACAGTAAACGAAAAATACTGATATTTAGACTCGAGTCATATATCAATATTTGTTTAAAAAAAGTTGTATCTAAATATATATAAAATCTGAAATTTTACTATAAAATTACATACAATTAAAAAAAAAAAGAGAAAGGGGGTGATTTCATAGTACAATTTCAATTA